AATCTCTACTTTTCCCAATTGTGGTTCTCAATTTCCAAGATACCGAAGTTCTCATAGTGGATTTCAAGGCCATTCAGGAGCTGAACTCATGTTCCCTGACACTTCTCACAGAATAATCTTACATAGTCTCTCTTTGTGCCCACACAAGTCTCTATTTCTTTTTATCTCCCACATCCAGACTTTTGTTTCCCAGTTTTTAATCACTCTTTAAACTTCACCTGCTCCTCTAAGTCCTCTAATTAAGCAGAGCCTGATCTAGATGTATACTCAGCCCCACAGAGCCTGCAAGATTTCCTATATTACTACCAGATGTGTTGGAGTATACTTGTACAGGCTTGTAGACACAGGAATAGACACAGAGCTGGTCAATCATTATAGTGCTTTCCTTTAAATTATAAAATCGTCAAAGGCAGACACCAAATCATTACACTCTAAAATGTGTCTCGGGAGCACAAAGCACTAACCTGTGTACACAATGCTTTAGGAAGATGTTCTCCAGATACCTCATGTGCACCCCAGAGTTCAAGTCACAAGAAGAAAAGGGAGCAAATATGGCTCTGGGTACCTTTTCGGCCCCTGTCATCAATTCATTTAATTTACACTTCCACCTCCAAAGAGTGGAAATGGTCAGTGAGTTAAGCAGGCACTCGCTTAAGTGGGCACAGAGATGGAAATAAAGGTAAAGAAAAACAGAAGACTAGCTTTGAAGTATCTCTGCAGTACCCCCTTTCCTAGGAACATACAAACCAGAATAACGAGATCTGAAGTTATACAGCCTAGCAGATAGGATGCAAGACAGATCCTAACACATCATGAAAACAGAACTGAACAAAACTTGCCTTGAAAGCACCAGCTGTATTGAGATCACAGTTAAATTTGAAAAGTGTAAGACACTTCTCAGAACTCCAGGTGCTATTCTCAGAGAAAGGAGGGATGGTGACACCACTTTCTTTCTTACTGTTATTTTCAGGAATAACAAAACATACACAGAAGTCAAAAGGAAAAATCTAGTTAGACTCTCACAACACATCAAACCACTGCCAAATTTTCAGAGTATACTAGTCTGTAAATTGTATATACCTTATAGACAGAGACTGGCACACCACAGAACTCAAGAGCAAAACCTGTTTACAAAATGTACTTTAACACCAGCTTCCAAAGTCAATTATAATTATAGTACTATCCATACAGAATGGTTTAATAAAGAATTCTTTCTTCTAAAATATTATCACAACCAAGTTTGGGAATACTACAATAAAAGCAGGAAGAAAACTCACTGAAACCACCTCTCTACTATGATAGGGCCAAAATTTTCTCCACCTAGCTGCCCAAAGCAAAACAAAAGCAAAAAAAAAAAAACAAAACAAAAAACAAACAAACAAAAAAAAACACCAAAACTAAAAAGCTAGGAACTAGATGACTATTTCTGAAAAACCTACTATGTAATTATCCCATCTTTTCAAACTTTTAAAACAATAAAATTTTAGAATATGAAAGTGACATATGAAAATGGGAGATGCTGTCCTAACAACAATCTAAATTTTAACAATTCTTCCAAAAGAACTGTTTATTTTCAACTTCCAACTAGTAAACAAACCTCTCAGATTAACAGTTCTAGACAATGGCAATAAACTGGATAATATAGCACTAAAAATTCCAATTCTATTATTCTGTTAGCTTCGGAAGTACACAAACAAGGTGTGAGAAACATGGTCAGCCTTCCTGGGATTGTGCATCACCTTTTTTGGTGGGAAAGCACCCTACCTCTGTGCAGCCTTCTTGGGTCCTATTCTTCCAGATAACTCTCTTGTCCAGAATATTCAGACTGGTAGAGACAAAAATCATCTCTCAGGCTGCGACTGTCCTTTATAAGAAGAAATTTTCTTCAACATCTTTGATTTTATGAGTAGACAGGCAAATCTACTGGATGGAAGGCAGTGGTAACATCTAAAGAAATAAACTATTTTGGCTTCTTCTTTGTGGTTAGTATGAAACACACACACATACACACACACAAGACAGGGAAACACTGACGGTCCCGAAGAAAACACTGAAGAATGATAAACCAAAGAAATAAAGGTGGCTATATCTTAAAATATACTCAAGGAGGCTGTTAAATTCACCCAAATGCATGGCTCAGTGCCTAAACCAACATATACATCTGGTAATAATAAACACTGATAAGTCATAAACAAAAAGGGCTTTCTTAATTCAAAAACTCTAGAAGCTACTGGTAATATTAAAATTTACATAAAATACTATCAAACAGTATGTGTGAAACTGATTTTTTTAAGATAGTATTAGTACTTCACTTTAAATTACTAAGATGAAAAACTGGTATTTTACTGCCTAGTCTTCAAAACACTAAGAAGCCAGTATCTTTGATTTGACAAAATTACAAATCTGTTTTCAGTAAACAGAGAAAACATACTGCCTCTGTTTAATGCAAAGGACAAAAAAGATCATCACTGCAAATCATAATGTTTGGGTTCATGATGAAAACAGGAAAGAGACAGGCTGCCCAGGTATAATTACGGTTATAGTGTAATGTGCCTTCAGGTTCAGCCAAGAATTAAAACCCAGTGAAGAGTAAGCAGAATTTACTTGCCTCTACCTTGCTGCAGAAGGAAACTTTTAATAATACTTCCAGCAACATGTTACATAATCAACAGTAAACAACAATCTGATTCAAACCTCATTAGTAACAACATTCTGCCACTGTCTCTCACTGAAATTAATAGCTGACTTTGCCAGAAGGGAAAGAAATGCAACACGTATCAATCTACCCATTTCTGTGGCGCCTACCTATGTGAACCAGACAAGTAGAAAATACCACCAAATCTGCACAGAAACTACAAAAATATTTTATTCTTCTCTTTTCCCGCAGTTCACCACTGGCTTTCCTCCTTTTTATCAGACTGTATCATATGGATGCATATAAAATCTAAGAGGAAGTGAATTGAGGAGGTTCACCTAACTTTTCCTGCCTATTTGAGCTCTTTCAGGTCTCAAAAATGGAAGGATAAATGAGTAAATCTTTGTAACAAAGAGACACAGAAACATTTATGCAATAACAACAGCTATGTGAAAAAGAAAGGCACACTGACTGAGGGATCCGCAATATAGAGGGAAAGAAAGGAGGATGTAATCATGCAAACAATCAAAACAAAAATTAAATTTTAAAAACCTAAAACGTATTATGTACCACCTTTGTGAAGGTAACCTTAATTCAATTGTCTGAGTTGTTCTGTATTCTTGTAATCTCAGGGTTCACCGCAGAGGGAAAGAAATAGCTACCAAAGAAGGAGTAAAAGGGAAAGGAAAAAAAAAAAGGAATTTGTACAAATGTATAAATAATCCATTACTTACTAAATTTGGAACACACTAATTTCCTAACAGTATTCTGATCAATACATGTGAAACTGTCACATTATGTCTAAGTACTGTTTTCCTTACAACACCCACTATGGCATTTACATCTAGCCGAAATTTTACCCTACGTGCAATGTCACTAAATCTACTGGGACTAGGGTTTTTTGAGCCTTCCAGATTTCAAATTAAATCTGAAAACTCACTCTGGGCAATTTGGGTACTCTATGGAAATTCAAGTACTCTAGTTTTTGATAACTTAAATCTTTTTTTTTTTTTTTTTTAAACAGCAACTCAAGAACACTTTCCTCTCAACTTCTGTGAAGCCAAGCCACAACCTCCACCTATCCAGCCTTTGTTGCTAGATAAGAACACTTTTGGGAGTGCTAGGCAACACGCATGATGTGACAAACTCAACCAGACTTCAAAACTTTTTCCACAGAAAGATAAGGTAAACAAGATATACTTAGCACCACACCCATTTAAACGCACAAGCAGCCAGGAATGTTTCCCCCAACCCCCCCTTCTAGACCTCCAGCTGGTCAGGAAACAATGTCTCTGCAATCAAGATAGTGATCTGGCCCAGGGTGTTCAGGCATTCCTCACCTCCAGGATGGCCTACAGCTCCATTCTCCAATGCCATCAAAAAACCAGAACTGGAACATTTTGTTAGAAATCGGGCACACGTCCAAATACCCGGGCTATCCTCGCCCCAGTTCTTTTTGCAACCAAAATCTGTTTTGGGCTACTGAGCATGCTCCAACTTAAGACAGGCGCCACATGGGAGTTTTCAAAGCTTAGGCTCCAAACTCCACGTAATAACAGCAGCTGAAAGGGGAAGAGAGGGGAAAAGGAGGGGGAGGGGGAGAGGCCAGAGTATGAATTTGACTACTGATAACTAAAGTGAAAGACCCGGCAGAGACCGAATATGATGAAGGCAAACAGGCAGCCCGGCTGGGCATTCTCCTTGCACCAATGCAGAAGTTTACAAGAAAGGACAAGAAGTCTTTGCACTGCTGAAAATGGGCACGGCAAGTGGCAGAAAAAAGGTCTAACTACCAGCTGAGTGCAGTAGCAGGTCACAAGTGCCCAGAGTGTAATTCCCACCGATAAGCGTGGATCCTTATCTCTGAAACACAAAGCGACGGCGGCACAGATTCATCAAGCCACTGGACAGCTTTCAGGGTAGCAGATCAGACGGCTCGACCAAGCTCGTTGATCCTACCAGGGGTGTGACTGAGGGTGGTGCTTAGAAGAGGTACAACAAACCGCTCCTCGGGACTCAAGCGGGGCCTGGGATCCCCCCGGGGGCGTCCGGAGCGCCTCGCTCCACAGTCCCGGCGGCAACGGCGACGCAGGGACCAAGGCCAGCCTACCAGCCTAGGGACGCCCCCGGCCGCAGGAAGGCCTCCTCAGGCTGACGGGCCGCCCCATCCTCGGCCGCTCTAACCTCTGCAGGCCGGGACTCGGCCTACCTCCCGCCCTGCAGGCCCGGGCGGCTTCCGTTCCGCCCGCGGCCCTACGCCCCCGCCTCGGCCTGACTCCAGCCCTGAGGGCGAGCCGCGTTCCGGAAGAAGCTGCAGTCCCCGGCCCCGCTCGCCCGCCCGCCCCGGGGCCCCGCACTCACTCACCGGCCGGCTGGACGCACTCCCCGGACGCCGTCGCCGCGCTTCCCCTCACTGCAACTTTATTAGCAGCTCGGCCGCGGGACACGCGCACGGCGCCCGCTCGCCCAGGACCCGGATGAGGGAGGGAAGGAGCCGGGGAGGACGCCGCTGGGGTCCGCGCATGCGCGCGAGAGCCCGAGTGACCGCTGCGAGGCCAGAGAGAAGGAAGGTTCTGCGCTTGGCTCCGTGCGGCAAAGCCTGGCTTCAGATCCGCCCGAGGCTCTTGTGGCTTTGGTCAGACCCAGGCATGGGAGTCGGTGAGCTCCCACCGCCACAATGGCCGCTAGTAGTCTCCACTAACCAAAGCAACCCACACTGTAAGAAGATAAAACTATTGCTCTGGATAGGGACAATTGCAGATTTTCTCAGTCACATAAAAACTGTAGAAAAATCTTAAGACACAAGTTTGCTACTTTTATTGACTTTTTTAAGTAACTATATAAATCTAAGTGAAGAGAATCCTCTTTCTATGAAAACTAGCTTCAAAATAAACTTCTGAGCAGCAGCCCTAGAGCCCCTCCCGTAGAGAAATCCTGGAGCCTCTGCTGTTCCCCAATCCCTCTAGCAGGGCCTGAACTTGGAGTTCCCCAAATTAGGACTGTCCACGTATTGGGAGATCAACCCCAATAGTTCAAGATACACACACTCTTCTGGACAGGTGAGGCCACTGAGGTGCCCAAAGGTCACCTGTAGGCTGGCATCCCTCCACTCGGCCTCCTGGGGCAAGAACATAAGTCTCTCCCTTAGTAATTGCACTCTTTTCCTTGCTCTTTTCCTCAAAATTCCGCCAAAGCATCAGCCTTTCCTAGAATATGATAGTGGCACCACCTAGGGTGTCCAGTTTGAAGAGTACTAGTGAAGGAAAACTTTTAAATAATTTTGTTCTCATTTTAAAAGTTCAACCCGGGTTTTCCAGTACTCCGCCGTAGGTTTCCTTTTTCAGTCAATTAATCTAAGTAAAAATCAAAATTGGAGTCATTTCCAAATCTTCTCCCTCATAGCCTAATTCTATCCATCATGAAATCTTATTAATTCTACCTTCAAAATATATGCCAAATCTGATTTCTCACTGCTTTCTATTATCACCTCCATGGCTTGAGCCAGCGCCCTCTTGCACAAATGGGCAGCTGCTATTTTGACCAGGGCTTCCGCAGTTTGTTCCCATGGTGAAAAGACTAAGTAAATGTTGCAAAAGTCTCTGCAAGAGAAGTGGCCATCTTGAATGGGACAGGGGCCTGGTGAGGAAGTGCATTGGGCCAGGGTGGGGGGACCCAACAGTGCACATTCTGATCAAAGAGGCAGCTGCTGCTCCAGTCCAGCCAACTGCCACCATGGGGAAATTGAATAAGGGCCCGTGTTGGCAGATCTTCTGATTTTTCAAAAACAGCTGGAAATCTGGATGTTAATGCAAAAAAATCTCACTTTTATATGCTTAGCGACTTCTTTCATTCTTTCTCACTTTTTCTCCCTTTCTCAGACATTCAGGAGGCTGATCCTCTACAAGCCAAGCCAGAAAAAGCCATGGTCCCAATTTAGCCTACTGACCATTGGTGTGCAGTCTCAGGTCTACGTCTTAAACCTCTTTACTACGTCATAAATTTGGTGAAAGTAAAGTCTGTGTACTTTAACTCTTTGTCAGGCTCACTGATTATTTGTTGGTAATTCAGAAGTTTCCAGTCCTTGGAAGGCACATACTTCTGGAGGCTGCATGAGTTTACAGCTCCCAGAAGTGCCCATAACCCTGCCTTGGAGGGTGCCTTTTATTTTTTTTCTTCCAGAACTAATGTTTGCAGAGTGTTTTGTTGAACATTGTAAGACATAACAATTTGGTTTAAATATTTTGTGTACTAGAGCCATTCCACATTTCAAACAGCCAATAAAATCCTCCCCAAAACCATTTGCGGTCTCGCAGTCACCGCATATTATGCAAGGAACAATTTGTGATTGCAGGATTCCTATGAACGCTCACATCGGTAATCTCAAAGCCAACAGTTTTGTTTCCTGCACTATGTGTTCACGTACTGATCACAGCAAGAAGAGACTCCAACCTCTCCAAGTGGCTATGTGGGCTCAACTTAGGTCTGGAGTTTGAAGAGATAACATAGAAGAGCCCAAAAGATGCCTCCCCAAGAATGAAAAAATTACCCAGACTCATAGGATATAGAAAATCAGACAGATCACTAAAGGTCTAGATAGTCAAAAAGATTATCAAACAGTCAATGAGATGGCATGCTGAAGCCCTAGGAATGGAGTAAGGAAGTTCCTATTTTTAACAATCGAATGGATTCTAAAAACAAATGTAGAATGGGCTAATCTGAGCAAGTAAATATAGTCTCTGTGGGACATCAAAATAGATAAACTGATTTTTCAGTTTCGCATTCTCCCATGAGGATCAGATAAAAGGAGCTTCAATCCTCAATCTTACTTTATTTGTAAAGAAATCCATTTCTGGATAATATAGGCCAGTGCTTCTCAACCAGGGGTGACTGTGCCCTCCTCCCCAGGGGAATATTTGGCAATGTTTGAAAACAATCATGACTGTGGCATCTAGGAGGGTGGTGCTAATAGCCTTTACTGGGTAGAGGTCTGAGAAGCTTCTAAGTCCTGCGCAATATACTGGACAGCCCCGTTCTACCAAGAGTTGTCTACCCAAAATGTCAGTCGTGCTGAGGTTGAGAAACCCTGTTTGAAGTCCCAAATAGGTTTTCTTTAATTGAATTGATGTTTAGGGAAAAAATGAGCCTTTTCTTTTTATTTCTAAAAATAAATAAAAATAATTGTTTTAGCTGTTCATTGAGTGGAACAAATCAGCCTTAATGTTTAGCCCATGACCTACTCCCACCTTGAATTTTCCAGAACCAAAAAGAAGGTAATTTTCAGGAAAGATGAAACCATCTATGGAACACAAAGAATTGGAATAGTTAACTCAGTCTTTCCATATTCTTAACTTTTAATTTAAGATTTAGTGTAATTGAGGCAAATTGGTTTTGGTGTCAGTATCCTTAATAAATATGACAATTTTATCCTTTGCTCTAGCTCTGAAAATTCTCCCTTAACAACCAGTGCACACCCAGTAAAATTGGAAGAATGCGATGATGTCTGGAGAAGTCACCCAGTATAGATGCATCAGTGACCACAGAGATCTATAAAGATCTATAAATCCTACCTAGTAGCCACCTCAAAGACTCCCACTTCCTGAAACAGTCAAGGCAAGTGGACAGGAGAGGAAGAAATGTCTGAGTTGGAGTGACTCCTCTGGACAGTGTCCTGGAAACGAAAAAGGTAACTTCCCAAGTTCTAAACATTCTGTATATGTTCTTAAACTTGACAGACTAGCCCTGCCTCCAATCTTAATATTAGAAACAGTGCAGGAGGCAGAGCTAAATGTAGAAAAGTGTGAGAAGAGTGAGCTTCCAAAGAAATGGTATACAAAAAAATCCGAGAGAGGGGCACCTGGGTGGCTCAGTCCATTAAGCATCCATTTTTTCTTTCAGCTCCGGTCATGATCTCATGGGTTGTGGGATTGAGCCCCACGTCAGGCTCCTCACCCAGCGTGAAGTGTCCTTATCCCTTTCCTCCTGCCCCTCCCCTGCTCATGCTCCTTCTCTCTCTCAAATAAATAAAATCTTTTTTTAAAAAAATCTGAGAAAAAAAAAAATCATTATCTTAAAATTCTCCAAAGAAATTTCACGTTACTGTTTAACAGAACAAGCCACGCCGTTCTGTGCAAACCAAAGAGTACACTAAACTGATTTTATGCAACATTTGAAAGGTTACCCACCACCACCACCCCCAGTAAAATCTGAGTGTTCTGGTACGAAATTATCCCTTAATAGTCCACAGACCCTTTATTTTCATAACTCAGATGTGGAGAATCTTAATGTATTCAAAAAGAAAGAAAAAAAGAAACATAAGAAAAAAGAATGACAGCTGCCTCTCCTGGAGGATCAGGACTATCCAGGCCATGGACCCCTTGAAGCTCCAGGGACAGATATGAGAGACCTTGTGACCCCTTCATCCCCTGGAATGAATATGCACATTTTTGTGTATATATCTATGTACACACTTTCTGAAAAAAAAAAAAATCCAAACTTTTCATCAGCTGCTCAAAGGTTTGCCTGACCCCCCCACATGTTTGCAGATGCTTAAAGCAGTGGTAACTTTCCGTGTGGTGTAAATTTAATGTGTCCATTTTAAGTCCTCTTCTCTTCTCTCTTTCAGAGCAACATAATTGGGAGATTCCTCTCAAGGGAGGGCTGCTGGATGCAGAATTCAGGAACCTGGCTTGCCTGCCTGCAGCCATCTGCTACATTAAAGAAGGCCTCCTATGGCTGGAGTCCAAAACACAAAATTAAAAGGGTCGCTTGCACCCAGAGTCATAAAACAAAGAGGCTTTCTAAAGCGGGCTTGGAGTGAACGCTCGTTTCTTCCTGACTTAAACAGCATCTGTTCTTCCTGACAGCAAACACCCTCCGAGTTAATTCAGCTGAGCTCCCCAGTTCTACATTCTCACTTTTCATCCTCAGAGATGTGGTCTCAGATGAGCCAGACCACATGTGCCCCTTGCCCCAAATCCAGAGCAGCAGGTAAAAATCTGGGAATGCTATAGAATTGGGGAGAGGGGAAGGAGACAGAAGTTCACGTTCTCTAGAATGCCTTTTAAGTGCCTAAAATCTTGGTCACCTGAACTCTGAAGCCAGACTTCCTGGTTTGAATACCGACTATCTCCCTTACTCCCTGTGTGACCTTGCGCAAGTTCCATAGCCAATCTGTCCCTTAGTTTCCTCATCTGCAAAATGGGGACAAGAGTAGGATCCAATTAACAGAACTGTTACAAGGATTAAATGAATAGAAACTTGACAGACACTTAGAACCAAACCTGGCATACAGTAAGCACAATAGAAGGCATGTGTTTTCACCGCTACACCAGCAACCTCTACAACACTCTTAGCAAACTCATTTGTTGCATAAAATCTACCTGCATTTTATCCAACAGTAGACTCTCTTCCCTTCTTACTTGAATAGGTGATTTCATTCCCCCACAAGCCTACGGTACTATCTATTTCAGACAATTCCCAAATTTCCATTTC